TTTTCATTATTTTTGAAATGGTATAATAGAATCTACAGTTGAAAAAATAAAAACGAGACCATCTCCCCCACACTGCAACATCCCGCTGAAACCTGAACCATCGAGGTAAACGACAAAAAAACTAGACGAGTATAAAGAATTCAGCATTTTGTCCTCGTCTTAGAAGAAATCTCCCAACCTCTAAAATCTCTGCTAGGCAACAATGATACGTGATGCATAAAATGTACAAAAATATATGATATATATGATATATATACTGCTGCGACGACACATTCATGAGAGGAAGATATCATGTATTCCAGCCACATCTAAACCCGACTTTTCTCTAAAGCCCAACTTCAGGATCCGGCCGTTAAAGAGCTCGTTTAGATTTAGTTTCAGCATTTGATCCCAGTCCCGTCCCTCGGAGGGTCAACGACGATGACTGAAGTTAAAGAGCCATGCAGTTAGTTCATATAATGCATGTTTTTTAAAAGCTATGATTCTACGATGTTAAAGCACGAGAGTTTAAAGCTAAGACATTATGTTGCGTAGATGTGCACAGAGAAAAAACAGCAAGAGACTTTTCTGCTCATCGTTTCCAGTGAAAAGTCTGGAACCTACGTTTCACACAGTACAATGATTAGACACGTAATACTTATAGAACAGATTTAACCTCCAAACAGCCACTGGATTATATCCGGTTAGGGTTTGGTTAAAGACCTTAAGACCTTTCCATTTCTCAAAAATGTGCCTTTTTGGCATTTGGCTACAACAAAACCCTGACCGGGTCGCTGGTGCCCGATGGCTGTTAAGAGGTCAAACCCACCCTGTTGCTGGTTATCGATACGTAAGCGGCAATCGGAGAAGATGAACGTTCAGCAACCGTGAAGGTAAAGGAAAGTAAAGTGGGACTGCTTTGATGTGCAAGGTAAGGGTCACGTTTTATCACCTCGATGCTGGTCGTGGACTTTTAAAAGCCTGTAGTAAGTTTGTAGCCAGACACGCAATCCAACCATCAGTGCTTCGTTTTGTTGCCCTCGGTGACGGCTGGTTACTTGTGGCTATCTGGTTCCCTAGGCAACCACCTTGGTAACATTGTTTGACATCATGTGCCAATCAGCTTCTTTTCTCCACCTCCACTGGCAGTCGAAATTCTATAATAAATTGCTCTAACTTTTGAAATTTGTCTGTTTGGCACACCTGAGTGTTAAAGTGGACCCTACCCCAGACCTGCGTCACATGTTTAAGAAAACAAGAAGGTACCCGAGCACACCTGAGAAGCTTTAAGATGCCATCTGCAGAAGAAGAACTGATGTGAAATCAGTTGAAATCTTAAATTTTTGTTTTTGTTGTAGCTTTGCTGGCTCCAGAGGAAGTGGAGTATAGAGTAATTCACCATAACGACGGGATCACAACGCAACGTTCTGCAATATTCAATACAAACAAATTACAATATGAGCAAAGAAGAAAAAGACTCCCTAAAAATTTGGCATCAGTATTTATGTCGACTTTCCAACGTTTCATCTCTGAATTTCTTCTGCTTCATGTCCTGCAGCTTTCGTGACCCTGGCCTTGCACACATGCAAACAGCTGCACGGGCTCAACTGTACAGATGTGACGCTGCGATGTGATCAGGACAGTCGCACCAAACCTGCACTCGTCACGTATCCAGATCGAACATTCACAAACAAACTGCTTGGCCTCGACCCGATGCTGAAAAACGCACATTTACTAACAAAGTTTCTCAGATTTGTGAGGCTCGTGTTGGTGATGACGTCCAGCTTCCAGCTTCTCTCATTCAGAAACACAACCAGCGCTCGAGAAACTCATTTCTCCTTCGCTGACGAGCCGAACACACCAATGAGCTCTGACTGAAAGGAAGCGCCGACCTTCAGCCTCCAACAGCTGCTCGCACCAAACAGAGGCAGCAGGTATCTTCCTCCAGCTGGAGGGATTTTCTTCCCACGCTGAGCTCGGATCAGAGGAAAACACTGATAACCATCTGCTATTACAGATCGCAGCTGCAGCTGCACCACGTACGAATCCTCCCGTTCCCACAGCGCCTCCTGTAACCTGTTTTGGAAATAAATCACGGCCCTGCGATAACTGTTGAAAATGCAAGGATGATTAAATCCTCCAAAATGTCAGTGCTTTGTATCGCCGGGGCTGAGGATGGATATTAATATTAATGCGTCCAGCGGGGAGGTTAACTTTGATGCTGCCGGTCGAAACTCCACCATATGGCTCCTCGCGGGATACGAACAACAGCCTTTTTAGATTGAGACGTTTTAAAATCAAACTTTTGTGTTTGGCAATGAAACAGCTTTGTTTTTTTAACGCTCCCATCAAAGCTGTGAGCTGATTCGTTCACGGAAAGCAGGCGTGCGCAGGGACCACAGCGCAAAGTCAAGGAGCTGGATGAGATTCATCTGCAGCCAACACGCTTCCTGCAGCTCCCTCATATCAGGAAATATTACAAAGCTTTAATTTTACTTACACACAGGCCTGTGATCATAACTGCACTGTTTCATACTTGAGGAATAAACTTCAACTCTTTAAAAGATGCTACATTTGTATTTTTTTGTGATATTTTCACTGCAATCTCTGAGAATATTAACCCCAAATTTTTAGTCCTTTCTAAAATCATCAGCCCCGCCACGAGAACTTTACACAAACTTTACAACAACTTCTCTAAGGACCATCGTCAAAGCCACAGACTGTATATTAAAGATGGACGTAGCTTCCGTATCAAAAGGTTTGAACTCTTTGACAATAAGACCCAACGACGTCAGTAAACACTGAGCTCAGATTGTAGTTTCATTTTATAAATCACGTCCTCATCACTGTAACATTAAGCTGCCAATATGGACGCACCAA